CCTAGGATTTAGACCTCCTCCTCCTCCTCTTTCGCTCGCTACTTCAAAGGGTTGAAGAGGCACGACGGAGAGGCGCGCGTGTTTGCCCCTCTGCTTTCTCGCATTTCCTCGTACTTCACTCGCCGCAGTTTAACGCAGATGTAAGAGCGATTCGCTAATCTTGATTGCGAAGACGGGAAGTTAGGAAGTTGGGAATTGAATTACGAGAAGAAAATTCAAATATCATTTGAAACGAATTTTCGAATCGCGATGAAAAATGTTTATACTATGTGCAAATACGGATGCTTCGTAATCATAAACAGCAAAAGGACAAGTCTTAATTTTTCTGCGGAAGGAAAAGGAAGAATGTTTCGAGATTGAAAGAAATGACGAAGCGCGAAGCCGGGAACCTCGTCAGAGGTTCGTTTAACGAGAGTGTAACGAATCCGACGATTAATCGTTCGGTATTAATTAACCAAGGCAATCGGGTGGCGCCGCCCTCTCCGTGCGTCGAGAGTTGGAACGTTTCCAACGCGGATTCACCCTCCCTTTTCGAGCGAGCTCGAGATCGCCACTTTCCACCCACAAGGTCACGGTCTTTAACTTTTTATAACGCCTCGATTCGAGGCCCGTTAATTACCGTCACCCCTTTTCGATTAATCGGTTCAAGCGTTTAAATTACCTTCGATCCCGAAAAAGTTACAAGCAAATATAAGCAACACCGAGACCAAGAAAATTTGTAAAAATTGTTTTTCTTTCAACTACAATCGTTATTCGTTTTGCAATACCTTTTTGATCCTCGGCTCTAAGAGTTAATCTCACTCGCGCCAATTTCTTCCCCTCCTATATTTTCCCCCTTCTATTCCCATCACGATCGAGAGCCAATGTCTCCGACGGAGGAGCCAAAAAGCCAAGATGACTTCGGTGGAAAGGTTTCGTCGGCGAAACTATTCCAGAATGGGAGAGCCGTCTACATCCGAGAGTACCGCTCTCTCGTTCCACTGTTATACACGAGCCGAGAGAACAGTCGAATAATCTCACGTGTGCAATCCTCCGTGGCAGGGAGTTTCCATATCGTCGTTGCAAAGACCGACTACCACCTGAATGAACATCGACTTTGGACAAGTCTGATTTAGAGATACCCCTGGCTTCCAGGGAATCAAACTTCTCTCGAGAATATTTCCCCTAGTATATGGGAAATATGAATCATTTTCGTGGATAATTTTAATCGAGATTTTCTTAAAGAAAATTTATCGCCGCCAATTAGAAGAGGGAGGAGGAGGAGGAGGAGGAGGAGGAGGAGGGGAAAGTTTCGCGACGAAAATTCCGCACGAAATTCCCGCTCGACGAGGGGGAGGGGGGGGAATAGAGCGAGGAATTGAATAATACGGGGCGAGTAGGAAATTGGTGGAAATCGGTGATAAAGGAAATCGTTATTTAAACGTGGCGGGGCCACGGGGTTGCCCCGGTAATTAATAACCGAACAAGTTGCCGCTTGCACCAGGAGAGGGGGGGTAATTTCGGCTGATTACTTTGGCAACGATTACTGTCGGGGGACTTTGCGCGCGTACGTGATTCTGAAGTTTCCGTGAGCGGCCTGCTAAATCGTTAATTACGATCAGCGCCCGATTAATCACTCTATTGCCGACGACGGCCATTTAACCGACACGCTCTGCCGGTCAACGCATCGGATGTAAACAAGATTGTAAACCGGCCACCCGTTTTTTGAAATACCCTTCGATTTGCTCGATGGATCGAAATTTTTTTTTCATTTCTTTCTTTTTTCGTGAGAGATCGAATTTTCTTAACGACGGCGGGGGTGACACGTGATGCGAGGGGAGAGATTTCGTTGGAGAAATTAATTTTTCTGACAGGTTAATCTCTATATATAGATTTTTGTATCTTTGTTATTTTCTTATTTGCCATCGCTTAAATTTTCTTAATGGGAGAGAGATTTTTTTTTTTTTTTCTATCTTTTGCCAGAGTCGAGTAGAATGTAAATTAAGAAGGGATGTGTTTTCTCTTTATTAAATCTTTTTGGTTTTTTTATTCTTCTTGTCTCCTTAAATTGAGAATGGTTTTAATTCGTCGTAAAACAATTATTAAAAATATTTAGAAACTAAAGGAAATGATTCGTTTCGATTTGGAATTGTATCCAGATCGATCTTGAGCCGAATAAATAAATTCTCGACGTGATTAAAACTCGAGTCGAGCTCTCGATATTAATAAAATGTTTTTACGTAGATTTTTAAAAAAAAAGTAATAATGGACAGAACTATCTGACGACGGGATCGAGAGTGGAAAACGTATCTGATCGCTTACGAGTTCATTTTTTTTTTTTTTTCTATCATTTGCCAACGCGTTATTACATTTTTACTTATTTTGCCTGGCCGTGTGTAAATCGAATGAATCCAACATCGTAATCGATCCACGAGCAAGAATCACCGTTGGAAATCGGTCGATGCGTGATTTTTTCCCGCGTTTTTTTTTTTTTCTTTTTTCTCGTCCATTCGACGCGTTTCTACGCTCAAATTTGGAAATTCGATTCTTCTACTGTTTGTGTATCGCGTGACTCGATTACCATTGTTGATCGTCGCTTAAAAGCTATATATACGCACAACTGTATTACTCGACTATTATCCTATCAACGATTTTCACACGATCGCGATTATTTATTATTCGCAAAGCTACGTAGGAGAAAAAAATATGAAATTCTTAAAAAAAGAAAAAACAAAATTTTAAACGATAGCTTTAGATTAAACGAGATTTTATATTTTCTGATTCGTAATATCAGATTCCGGCGAATCAAAGATTCGGAAAATTCACCGGCAAAAGTTTCCCCGATTTCTTTCTCCAATTTATTCTAAAATTCTCCCCCGTGCAAGCCTCTCGATTTTCCCAAAAGTGCGGCGAGCGAATCTCTTTCCCGTGTTTCCTTCGATGTTAAACATCGGAGGAGGGGATCGTTTCCACGCCGGCGTAGAATTAACCACACGTTCCTCCCTTGGCCCAGGTTGCATTAACTTTCCTGATCGCGACCACCCTCCAGCGAAATCCAATTCCGGGGAATGCGGTCATTTTCGCGTCTCTTTCCATCTCTGCCTCTATCTTACGTCGCCCTGGGTTACTTGCACGGTTACACGCCACCGCAACCGAACAAATGGAACCGGTATTCCCTTCGAACATTATGATAGAGTTGCTTTTGCCCCCCAACTTTGCCTCGAGATGGGAAATGGGTTTCGCAAATTGTTGGAGAATCAGCAGAATTTCAGGGAAAGTGAAAGCGAAGGGATCATTGATTGATAAGCGAAATTGTGATCGAATCGTGGGAAAGAATTTTTGGAAAGGATTTTAATATTGGAGGTAAAAATGATCGATCGGATATAAAAATAGGAAAAAAGAATAATAGTGCATCTGTTTCCTCGAATTATAATTAACCACGATTCGATTAAACTTGCTCGAATAGTTAAACAGAAGTTAAAGAAAACAAATAAACAAAGGATTACTGAGATGAAATATCTAAAATTAATACTCAAAAACGATACATTCCTCGATCCAAGAAACGAAACACCTTCGTCTTCTGATACCTAACACACAATTTCTACTAATATATAAATAAATAAAACACGTTCATCGAAATCTCCAAATCCGTCCGCGACGAATCTAAAGGAAACATTGGAGCTCTCCTCTCAACCCTCGAAACAATACGTAGAAACGAGACGCGGCCGATCCTACGTCCCATATTTCTTCATGGACGAAGAACCGCGAAGATGTCACGTTGTCCAACACTCGTGCACGCGCGTACGCACAATACGCCAGCCACATGGTGGGAGAAGAGACAGAGAATTTGGCACGAGATCCAGTCGATCGTGCGCGCGGAACCGGTTGGCGGCAACGCATTCGTGTTCACCGGCGCAGCCGGGGGATTACCAATGAGGCACGTCGGATTACCGCAGTTAGCGGTGTTCGTTAGACCACTATTTTAATTAAGACTATTATACGCGCGCTCGGCTATTCGTATCGCGGCTGTTACGTGCGCGGACCGTTAAAACGAGAGCACCCGCGACACCGATTCGTTCCCGCTGCCTATCGATCGCGATTATCGACGCGCCACCCGACGGACGCATCCTCCTCCCGTTCTTGTGGGAGGATTTTAAGGTGGTGGAGCCATTTATAGGAGGAAGATCGAGACGATTCAGGATCGATTTGGGTAGGAGGAAGTAATGTAAATGATGTTTTGAAAGTTGTTATTCGCTGAGGTGGAGAAGATTGGAGGAATCGAGAGGGTTTGCACGATCGATATGAAGATCGCGCGGATGGGAGAAAATATGTGTTATCTTTGTGCTATCTATTTATTGAAAATGTAGAAAATATTTTAAGGAAGAGGAATAAGGGATATAGGTTCCCATGTAAGTTTCTATCTTTGTTATTACCAGTGAACGGATTCATCAAATGAATCTCTGGAATCTCTCCCCATTATTTTTTCCTTTTTTATCAAAAATAGAAAAAGAGCAATTAACCGATGGATGGATTTAGGAAAATGAAGGATTTCCTATTTGATCGGCAAAACGAAGCTCTACGAGTTTAACTTTTCACCGAATAAATAACTCCTCTGCTTCAATTATTGAATTTGGATTCACAAAAAAAGAAAAAATGAATCTTCTATTCATCGTATCAAAAACAAAAAGAAGATACACGCTCTTAACAGCCTTTAGAATCGTTCTAAATCGTTCGATTTCTATCTGATTAATTTACGTCGATCGATATACCTGTCTCTTTCAAATTTCTCTTTCAAATTTTTCATTGCAAAAATTAACCTCGTCCAGTGCGAGATTTTTATTATTATTATTATTATTATTATTATTACACCCCTGTATCACACATAACCATCCAGAACCATCCATCCCCTAAAACTTTACGATTTTCAACAATCTTATCGATCAATGACTTCACACTTTCGATTAATCGAATTTGAGGAATTTAAGGAAAGGAGAGAAGAAAAAAAAAACCTGGTCACTCACCTGGTGGCGATCAATTGACAGGTTATGCTCGGCGAGGCCCAAGCTTCCGGGCTCCAAGGGGCGCACTCGTACAGCCTGAGCTCCCTGCTCGAGACGGCCCCGAACACGCTGCGCCATCCCCCGGTGCATCCACCCCCGAGGCCGAACCCGCTACCCGCTCCTCGCGAGGTGCTCGCGCTGCTCCCGGCTCCGTCCTCGCTGCTCTCGCTGCTGGCACGTCCGTTCTGTGGACAGATCGCGCGCCGCGCCTCGTAAATCTTCTCTGTCAGGGGGGAGGAATGGGAGGGAGGGAGGGAGGGAGGGAGGGAGGCGTGCATGCACGTGCACAACGCGACGACCGGGTTTGATCACGGCGGAAATCCGTGATCCGGCACGATTCGTCCACCGCCCCCGTGGAAACCGTTCTTTCGGGGGCGGCGCGCCTCCCCGGCCAAATTTGCGCCACAGGAGAAATTATGCGAGACACCTGCTCGGCCACGATAACAACACGCGCCAGGAATTTGCGATTTTCTCGTTTACGGTTTGTACGATCGTGTATACGTGTTCGCGCGTGTTACGTTCTGCGCGACTATTATGTTTACGGTGTATGTGTTACGCGAGCAACGTTAGAAGAAGAATTTGGTAACGTTGAGCTGAATCTTTATTATCGATATCTCGATCTTAATGTAAATTTATTTATATGGAAGAAATGGAGAGAGAAGAAATGTTTGCATTCGATGAATTAATCGAATGATTGAAACCTTGAGCTGAATCTTTATTATCGATATCTGTGATGAAAGAAGAAATGGAGAGAGAAGAAATGTTTGCATTCGACGAGTTAATCGAATGATTGAAACGTTGAGCTGAATCTTTATTATCGATATCTCGATCTTAATGTGAATTTATTTATATGGAAAAATATCTGTGATGAAAGAAGAAATGGGGAGAGAAGAAATGTTTGCATTCGACGAGTTAATTAAAACGAGTTGAAAAATGAAAGAGAATAATTGTTTATTGCGAATATTAATCGCCGAATTCGTCGAATGCGAACTTGAAATAATTGAAAATTCTCCCTACTTTTGAAAGTAACTAACTCACTAATCATCCCCTCGTACCATAACGAATCTTTCGAATCGAATGATTGAAACGTTGAGCTGAATCTTTATTAAGATATCTCGATCTTAATGTAAATTTATTTATATGGAAAAATATCTGTGATGAAAGAAGAAATGGGGAGAGAAGAAATGGAGAGAGAAGAAATGTTTGCATTCGACGAGTTAATCGAATGATAGAAACGTTGAGCTGAATCTTTATTATCGATATCTCGATCTTAATGTAAATTTATTTATATGGAAAAATATCTGTGATGAAAGAAGAAATGGGGAGAGAAGAAATGTTTGCATTCGACGAGTTAATTGAATGATTGAAACGTTAAACTGAATCTTTATTATCGATATCTCGATCTTAATGTAAATTTATTTATATGGAAAAATATCTGTGATGAAAGAAGAAATGGGGAGAGAAGAAATGGAGAGAGAAGAAATGTTTGCATTCGACGAGTTAATCGAATGATAGAAACGTTGAGCTGAATCTTTATTATCGATATCTCGATCTTAATGTAAATTTATTTATATGGAAAAATATCTGTGATGAAAGAAGAAATGGGGAGAGAAGAAATGTTTGCATTCGACGAGTTAATTAAAACGAGTTGAAAAATGAAAGAGAATAATTGTTTATTGCGAATATTAATCGCCGAATTCGTCGAATGCGAACTCGAAATAACTGAAAATTCTTCCTACTTTTCAAAGTAATTAACCATCCCCCCGTACCGTAACGAATCTTTCGTATCGAATGATCGAACGGATATTAAACATTAGCGGGAAGAGAGGCGAAGGAGAGGATTTTGCAGCGTATTATCAGCAACGAGATAAAAAAGAAAAAGGAAGAAGAAGAAGAAGAGAAAAAAAAAGGTTATATAAGACGCATTGACAGCTTCGCATTCCAGACATGCGTCGTTCTCAGGCGACGGAGACGACGAGGGTTGGAAAAGCGCGGAAAACGCGGCGGAGAGCTTGTCTGCCGTTCAAGAAATGTAGCCTCATAAGTGTCAAGCGCATTTTCCCGCTGCCACTTATCCGGGAGACAATATCGAGCGGCTGAGGAGCGCGTGGCCTGCGCGCCGGATGCAACCCCCTGTGTGCACCCTCTCTCTCTCTCTCTCTGTGTGCATCGTGGGCTGGCGGTTTTCAGCCGAGAACGGAATGCAGCCAGGTGGATGCAGCAGGACATTGTGCATCCTCCATCTCTGTGCTCCCCGCAGGGATGATACATGGTGGATTAATTGAACTGTCGAATATTGACATTCCGGTGAAAACGGCGCGTGTTTACGTCGTGATGGTTACGCCCGCGCCTTTGTACATTACCCTCCCTCCCGATTCGATTCCCTTCCTTTGCCCATCTCCCCTTTCCATTCTTTCAATTTTTCCAACTTTATTTGCGTGTATTAATTCGTTCCCCCCTTCGGTTATGTCTCTTGTCGAGATTCTAATAGGTTTCGATGATTCGATATTTGTTGCAGTATCCCTTTGCAGTCTATCGTACGCAATAATCGGTTCAATTTGCAAATATTCACGGATCAGATACCAGAGATAATAAACGAATCGTAAAGCGGATCGAATAGAACGATAATCTTATTCTTACGAATAGAAAGAATAGACAGAGTCTCCGTCTTTTTTACATTTCGAGCAACGTGTATCTATAGTTCCATTAAGGGTTCTTTGCTGCGAGTGATATCTCTAATTTACAAACAAATCCAACAAATATTCTTTGATTTCACGTATTAAGAAAAATGATCCATCACCATTCGATCATTTACACTGTTCTACTATTAATTTATTCGAGCCTCTTTTTTTTTTTTTTACATTTCGAACATTGCGTTCGACATTGGCTCCATTGAAAATCCGTGTCTTGAGCGCGCAAAGGGACGTTTCGGTTAATCGTCGATTATTGCGGGATAAAAGCGGGCAAGCATGCTTATCCAATTTGTTCTTGGGGGAAAAATGGAGGAGAAATCGAGCGCAAGCTAGTAATGGAAATTAGCCGTATATAGCACGATACAACGAAATCGGGATTTTACCCCTTTGAACCTCCCTATTCTTCAAAGGGGTGGCCTTATAATTTTTATTTCACGGAGATATTATTCGCTCTTTCTCCGTCCAATCGTTTTCGACTCTTTCTCGAAATCGTTTCCCTTCTCCCTTCCCTCGTTTTCGATAATATCGTAATTCCTCCCGCGAGATCAGGTTGACAAATCGAGCGATGCTCGATATTTAAAAGCGATAAAAGCGGGATTATCGACGAGAATCGTCCAATCTCTTAAACGTCGATTTAACGTCCAACGTCTTTTCGATACTTCGCTTCTTAACTCGGTTCTTAATTCAAGAGGCATCAATTTTCAGACCGCCGGCGATACGGACACGCGAGGTCAGCCCCGATCGAGGGATTTGACTTAACTTTGAATTATTAAAGATATATAGGTATACTGCAGATTCTCTCTTGAAATAAAATATACTTTTTAGTATATTTTTGAACATTGTCAAAATTATCGTTTATTCTCACGTTTACTTGTTTTGATCATTCCTTCAATTTTTTTTTCTTAGATACAATATTTTTGGAATTATAATCAAAATTTTAATAGATAACGGGATGTTATAGATATAATATCTCGTCCCTTGGTTAATATTTGAGCATATATAGGGACTGCATATAAGGGGAGAAGCGAGGAAAATTGCCCTGTTTACGTTTCGCAAGAGGCTTTTAAAGCAGAGCGACGTTAATGGGACGGATTTTGTCTGCATTTAAATTATTCGCTACTAATGCAACAGGCATACGACGATCGCTGGGACGAAGATATCTTGCGCGAGGTATGAAAGAAGCCACGGAATTGTTTTCAGTTTTGGCCGGGGACAAAGAGCTCGTTAAGGATCGATCAAAATTTCACGCGGTCCGAGGTCCCTTTGACGTCGTTCCTCGGCTCCTGCTCCTCGCTTTGACTCGATAAAGTACGTAGGGGGAGAGGATCGAGAAAATTTGCCATTTACCACGTTATACGATACGTTGTACGCCGCTATTAGCGGGGCCGCATAGACCCCTTCGCAGATTATAATAGGAATGTGAATTTTCTGTGCACCTGTTATTTGGGCCATGCGTGATAGGAAGGGAAATAGCGCGTGATAAAGGAACTATCCGAGTGTAATTTCGAAAATTGTTCGTCCATTTATGGGATATCGTTCGATCGGTAATAAACATCGAATAACGATAAAATTTCTCTTAAAGAATTTTATCTTTTCACGGTTGTTTCTCTTTTCCTCCCGTAAACCTCGCGTAAAATTCTTAGGATATTTTTAACTTTTGGATGCCTCCAATTTCGAATATTCGAAAATCGAGATTTTATTCTACAATAGTTTAAATTATCTAGTTTAGTCGTTGATAATTGATGACGAAACTTTAATATTCGGTTCACAAAAGTTCATCGTGAAGATGATAAGAAAGATGATAACAAAGAAGATGAAATACAATATGGAATGGACACGTACGTGGAAGAAAGAAGGGATGGAACGATAGTTACATCCATTTCGGGGCAAAGAAGGCGCAAACGAGTCCGAGGCGTTAATTACCGTATAAAGTGAAGAGTCGAACGAGGAGGAGGAGTAGGAAGCAACTTTTCTCCGCGAAGGAACAACGTTTTCGTTGGGAGAAAGAAGCGAGCAGGAAGCCTCGTTCTTCAAGAAAATTAAGCCAATTAACCCCTCGAGTTCAAGAAAGAGAGAGAGAGAGAAAGAGAGTTCCTTTCAGCTGGCAGCAGTCCAGCGATTCCGCCAATCCCCTGTTTCTGGGGAAAAAGCCTGTGGCTGGCGATCCGTCGTCGATGAAACTTTCCACGATGCGTCTTCCAAACCATTTCTGCAAACAGTAATTAAACCCCCTTCCGCGATTAATCAAACGTCTCTTTCCTTTAATTTCTCTCTGAAAATTTTCCTCCGAGAATACCGAGTTGCGAATATTACCCTCGCGTCTCTTTTTTCTTTTTTTCTTTTTTCTCTACTTCTCGCTTGTTTCTACAATTTTTTTTTTCCTCCCCCAAAGTGGAAACAGAGAGACCTTTGCTCGTATCGTATCGGTATTCGTATCGTCAATTGACGGCCACCCTCGAATATATTCGGTCGATCGCGATTCTTTTCCATTC